CATGTTGAGCTTCTCATCCACCAATACCCCCAAGTCTTTCTCCTCAGGGCTGCTCTCTATCCACTCTTCACCCAGCCTGTATTTGTGTTTGGGATTGCCTCGACCCACGTGCAGGACCTTGCACTTGGCCTTGTTAAATTTCATGAGGTTTGCATTGGCCCACCTCTGAAGCCTGTCATGGTCCCTCTGGATGGCATCCCTTCACTCCAGCGTGTCCACCACACAGCTTGGTGTCATTGGCAAACTTGCTGAGGGTGCATTCCATCCCACTGTCCATGTCTCCAACAAAGATGTTAAACAACACTGGTCCCAGGACCGACCCCTGCGGAACACCACTTGTCACCGGTCTCCACTTGGACATTGAGCCATTGACCACAACTCTTTGAGTGCGGCCGTCTAGCCAATTCCTTATCCAGCAAGTGGTCCTTCCATCAAATCCATGTCCCTATACTTGAATGTATTGCCGGTTAAATTGACAAGAATTTACTTGTTCTTTGTTTCTAGGATTAAACTTTAAACTGATAGGCCTACTCCAGTAATTAAAGTTTTAAAAGTCCAGATCTGCATTAGCTGTAGGACTTGATCTCATAACAGCTGTTTAAATGCTGTTTGGTTTTGTTTTTTTAATCTCTTATCCTATGTTCTGTATAGTTCTTCAGTATAAGTGATTGACCAAACCCCTGATTCTTGTATTAAGAATGACTTGTTTGTTTTGAAAATCATTAAAGTAACAACAATAAATACACAAAAATATTCTAAGATATTGCTGACATGACTGACTAATACTGTTCATGCCACTGTTAATATTGCAGGACATGTATATTGTTTGTAATCTGAGCCCCACCTTCCCCTTTATGGTGATTTTTCACATTTCCACAAGCTGGGCTGCTTTCTCAGACTGTGTCACTAAATGTTAGAATTCTGAGGTGTATGGTAGCTTGGAAAGTAATTGTATAATTGTGTTTTTGTTTTCTTGGTTATTTTTTTTTTGCATACCAAAAGAGACTTTTGGAGATGACAGCAGCAATCTTTGCTTTATGTTGACTTTTACTTTTTTTTCATATGAAAGCAAGGTTGTTGAGTTTGTACCTTTTAGGAGAAGGTATAAAAATATGGGGGAGTCAGGGATGCAGAATGCCATGTGCAAACAGTGATATGTTAAGCAGCAAATTGGATTTTGGGTGCTGAGTGTGGTATCACTAAAGCAGCCAGTGAGGAAATGCATGGGACAAATATATGTTAGTGTTCCTCTGTGTAGTAGGTACCTTTACTCCTGACTGCCAAGAGTGCTTTTTTTCTTATTTTTGCTTTCAAAAAGTAATGTCACGTTTTCTTTTAAGATATCATAGAGACAAGTGGCAATGTTGGTGACCTTATAATAATTGTTCTTATTAGAACACTGACCTTCAAAGTGGGAGATGTAGGTTTAAATCTCCTTTTTCAGACTGGGATTCAAATTCTATCTTTCAGAAGTACCTGCTATGCTTCTATATGCTGGGAAATCTTTAGCTTCTTCGTGTTGAAGTTGTTCCTCTTTGCGGAAAGAGGGGTGTGTTTGTGCTCTCTCAACTTCATCTAGCTGAACGGTAAAGGCAGTCATGGAAAAAGGTCCTGGGGTAGGGGAGGAGTTATTTATAGGGTTTTTAAATACAGTTTTCTAGTTTAAGGCTGTTAGTATATTTTATCCTAAAGATGTGCTTTTTTTGGTGTGTGTGATTAGTCTTTTGGGGAGTAAAATTTAGACCTGTTTGAACTTTTCTTTCCTCTTTCACTCATGTTCATACTTGTACACATTATTGTATTTTACAGGAAGGGCAATGCCCTTATTTCTTTGTCTTTAAAAGAAAGTAGCAATCCCTACATTTTGAGAGGAATTGAAGAGCAATTGCCTGACCAAACATTTAGAGGAAACGAGTAGAGGAGGAATGCTAAATTTGCAGATTCTATATGTGACTGAGGCATGAACTTTTCATCAAGTTTAGTCATATGGTGCAAACACTCCTAAACTGTTTCAAATTTTATTATGTTACTGTCAAGATGGAGAGAGTTGTTGCCGTGTTGAGGATTAGGGAACAGTATGAACGATGCTTTCCAGATGTACAGTTAAGATTTTAGGTGTATAAATGAAACTGAAATTCTGTTTGTGTTGGAATTCTTTGTGGGCTTAGATGCATTAAACTCAATTGTTTAGGTACCCAGTCAGTCATATTAATTAAAGTACTGATTTAGCTTGGTACAGCCAGTCTTTTTAGGGAACCTAGAAGAAGTTGTTCACTTTTCAGTTGAGTGTTTTTATGCCAAAAGATTGATTTGAGAAGTGTGCTACTAATTAATACGAACATCTTGGAATTGAAGCTCTTGAAAGATAATTAGGATCACAGATTTGTGTTTGGTATTTCATTAGACTTTGCATTGTTATTTTGGTTTGTCATAGTTCTCTCTACAAAATGAGGTACAGCACATTTTAGATGTTTAATTTGCTCTTTTTCATTTAATAGCAATATGTTTTGATGTTAAGTAACTTATTTTTTTTGTCTTTCTTGGCAGCTTTCATCCAGTCGGATGGCATAATAGAAATGCTTCGTTTTGATGAAGGAGACCTATTGCAGGTATGTAGTCAAAGTAAATCATCTGAACTAGCAATGTTTCATCTTCATTTTGGTAGCTGCTTTCTGAAACTCATGGGTGAGTGGATTTTTGAAACTAAGCAAGGATCAAACTTAAGTCCAAAAAACTTTTGGACCTTCTAGAGTTATTTTCAACAGTATGCTTTGGTGTGTCCTGAGGTTCTGGTTACCGATCTTTTGTGTTGGGAGACAGGTGGAGTTTCCCACAGGTTCTGTCTGGCCTGTTTGTCCAGTTGGTTTTTTTCCTCAGAAAATCTGGGGGATGCTTTGTGTTTGACTCATCTTGATGTTGAGTTGGGATGCAATTGGATAGCACAGCTAGAGGAACTGGGAAGTGTTGCAATATTCCCAAAGGTAAAGGTAGCTCTTGGGACCAAGTTTAAACAAAGTTCAAATTACTGTAGTGATGTAATTACTGTTGCAAATCTGGACTTTTCAGGTATAATGTTGCCATTCTTGTCAGCTTTCTGTTGGCATGAGTCAAAACGTGAAAAGTTAACTTTGAAGAATATGTGCTAATATTTTGAGATAGTGGTAGTAGCTGGGATGAAATACATGGCAATATGGCTTGATATTTTAAATCTATGTAGTTGCAGAGTTCTCTTTACTAGAATTTAATAAATACGCATTTTGTGGATTGTGTTTATGTTGAGAGAGTCTTCTGTTAAAATTCCTTGATGATGTTAGTCCTGGTAGCTGAGAGGGAGGAGAGGAGAAAGAAGAAACCAATTAATTGTTTAAATTATTAGAATATGTGGCATGTGACTGTGTTTAACTTCATTAGTTACCAGTGCAGCGCTTGATTTACCATTGCTACCTCCTAGCTAGTCTAGAAGAGTCAACAAATGTAAAAGCTGTATGGTTTTGGGCTTACAATAATATTATTTGTTTCAGATTTATGAAGGTGGTTTTTCTTTTTCTGCCCACCTACCTAAGTTGTTTGGGGTTTTTTGTTGTTTTTTTTTTTTTTTTATTTCTTCTTCCACTTCTTGGCCCTTAATGTAAATCAAGAACAATTAATAACTTACTATGGATTTTAAGATTATAGTATACAAGGATAAAAGCCTTCAAAATGATCTAAGCTGGTGACGGAAAAGTTTCCAGTTAAAAACAAACAAATTCAACAGTCCTCTCCACACCCCACCCCTCTGCCCCACTGGAAAACACCAGACAAGCAAACCAAAAAGCCCCAGGTTCCTCATTAAACAGTTGTTTAGGTGTCATGTGCTAAGCAATAGTAGATATCTGTATAGGCTTGGTTTGGGACAACATATAGAGTTGTCGAAGTTTTCCATATAGTGGTTACCATCTTAATTATTGTGGTTTTTGACTCAGAATATTTATTTTATTTGCATGGAGATACCACATATCAGTATAAATGTAAGAGAAAAAAATCACTAGACTTAGTTTCCTTTAATTTACATACTCCATTAGAATATGTTTTGTTCAACAAGATTGGGTTCATATAAATGACAGACAGGTGTTGGCCCAATTTTAAGACAAAAAGGATGTAGTTGATTTCAGTTTTCTACATTTTAGATTATTTTTTCCCCAGAATATTATTTTAAACCTAATTAAAATGAATTGTACAAATCTGAAATTATCATATTTATTTATTTTAGGACTCTATTAATCACTATAGTTCTCAGGACTAGACAATAATGGTGCTGTTGTGAACTGCCTCAATATTTCATATAAAGATGGAAAAGTAAAATGAGTTGTTAATCATTCCAACTTTATTGCAAGATGTAACAGAGACAGAAAAATTAGTTTAAATAGTATGGTGGGACAAAGTCAAGCAATTCTGTTGCACAGTGAACTTTGCAGTGCTTTGGATTGCGTTTGGCTGCCACTTGTCCTAATACACTGCAGAATATTTAATTTAAAACAAAGCAAGAGAGACCAAATTTCTAATAAATGGTTTATATGTTTTATATTATGGTTGTGGCTTTTAAGCCAAAAATACCTACATAAGTGAAACCAGTTCCTTTTAATCAGAATGATACATCGTATTTTCTCTAGCTTACAATTTATTTGTTTTTTTTTTTTTTCTTTACATTTTAGTGTGGTGACCTCTTGTGACTACTTACTGCAATTAAAAAATAAAACCAAAGCAAATACATTGTTGTAAAACCAGATTTACATCTTGTGAACTGCAGTTACTAAAGTTTTAAACCTGCTGTAATGTAATTGAATGTTTCCCTTTCGGGCCTTCTGCAAGTTTTCATGTTTGTTGATTGTGGGTCATCCATCATTGCAGAACAAATACAATGATGTAGTAGTAACTCAGTATTGTCTAATGTTTTGTCACCTTCAGGTGATTTTTTTTTTTAATATAAAAAATAGCCAATTCAGTGCATAAAATGATTAATAATCATTGAAGAGTCTAAGACATCTCCAGTCTTGCTTCATTTCTGCCCCTTTGAAAGAGTTTGGTATCTTTACGGTAGAAGCAAGCACTTTTCTTGTTTGAAGGAGTTGCTTTCCAAAGAAGGCAAATCAAATGCTGAGTCTTACATAACTTAATCATTAGGGATTCCTGCCAGCTCCCTCCAGTTAGAGTATATCCTCTTGATACCATTTTTTTGTACTTATTTGGACTACATACTATTGGTGAAACACTCCTTATGTGTTATGAAACCACTGCACACAATCACATTTTAGGGCTCTTGCTTTAAAAAAAATAACTGAAATGTGTTGGAAAATTGAATTTGACCAGAGTGAGTTAAACCAGTTACTTATTGAAAGAGCATAAATCTTTAAATATATAAGTAAAAACCCCTTGCATTTAGTGAAAATAGACTGGCAATGGAAATTTCAGTGGTTCGTGATAGTAGATGACAGTAGCAGAGACTGTACTTTGTGGGTATGGACTTCCAGTATGTGGATTAGAAAGTGCTACACCATGTAAGTTTGTCCTCTGTCTTAACAAAGCAAAAATGAGAATTTTATCCTTTAGCATACATGTTTAGATTAAAGGTTTGTCTGAATAAAATTATGCTGCTTCTGCCCATGGATTAAATTACAATAATGAGGTATTTTCCTAATTCTGTCCATTCTTCACATGAATCAGTACCCTTAAGGACTCAACTTTTTGAACTCGTCAAATAATTTATTTAGATCCTGAACACAGGGTGAGAATTTTATTAATATAAATTGCCCATTGCTCAATGCAATGTTGGGTTTGTATTTTTCTTTAATAGCAGACAATTTGCAGATGTCTGTATAATTGTTTGGCTCTTTATGGAGTCATAGATTTGTTTGGTTGGAATGGATCTCAGGAGATCACCTAGTACTTCCTTCACATAGTGTTGTGTGTAGATGGACTATCCTTGGCAGCTGCTTGACTCTTCTGTTCTTAAAACCTCTAGAGAAGTAACTTGCACAAATTTCCTTAAGTACATATTTGTTTAATGCCTAAGCTGGTTTTGCTGCTTCTTTTATCTCCAGTATATATTCAGTTGTTTTTTTGTTAGTTTTTTTGCCCTCTTCACAATGATAATTTTATACTAAAATACACCTGTAGCTTCGTCAGTAACGCAAATTATTAAAAACACCCTGTAACTTTCTTTACTGGATTTTTATTTGTCTACACACTACTTACAGTGTAGCATTTAATTAGAACTTTAGTGCTCTGAGGCTTTGAGATACAGTAGTTGCTTCCCGGTGTAATGACACTTGTTTTAGTAGTTCCAAAATGAGTTGTAAATTGTTGACAACATTTTGTTTGCTCATATATTTTGTATTTCACTATGCTCTCCAGACACATTATTTTCTTTAGTGTCCTACGGCTTAGTCAGTTATTCCCAGTTCTAGATTTGAGCTCTCCAGCTAAACTTTGCCTTGTCAGTGTCAGGCAATCTCCCCCATGTGTCCTGGTTGTTTGAACCCTTGTCCAGACCTGACAGATGCTTCAGGTCCCTGATGATGATGTAATCTGCAAATATTAGGAGTGCTGAAATAAACTACAACTGTTCCTTTTAATAAATTGTCCTTTCATGTTAAGCCAACATACTGGCTTGCTTCTTAAGGACTTTTATTTTTAAAAGTGAATGGTAAAATAAAATTTATTTTTCAGCACAAAGTTTTCATTTGCTTTTAGTTCATAAAGGGCTGTTTGCCAGGTCGTTCTATTTGTTGTGAGAGCTTGGGTATCTAATGTTCTCCTGGACAATGTAGTTGGGGCCACTATTTTCCAGAGTGAGCGATCTTCTATTCAGACTAAGTGTTTGGAAAGTACTTCTGCTTATGTAGTAGTATTTTTAAAGTAGCATATTCCTACAATGAAAAAGGAAAATGCCAAGACTCTTCCCACAAATTTTCTTAATCCTCACTCCAGTAATTTTAAGTGTATGAAATGATTTTTAAAGGCAAACTGCTAGAAATTATTTTACTGATACTTACTGGTTTGCAGAATAGCTAAAATAGGGAGAAAAGAAAACCTCTGTGGTTATATATACTTAATACATATTTGCTGTCTTTGTTCATAAACTGCTAGTCACAAAAGCTGATAATGAGAATTACATTGGACCTAAACATCAATAGAGGGAACCTTAGCATGACTTGCAGTGGCTTTGCAGTGAGGAAGCTACGGTACTGAGTTACATGCATGGGAATCAGCAATGCTGATTTTTTTACTGGAGAAATTCTAGTATTTTCTGCATGATCTGTGCTTCATTCCATATGGCATAGTAAAGAAGTGTGTTAACAGAAGTGGCAACTATTTGGTTCTGGTGTATCAGTAATAGTGTTTTTCAGGTGTAAAGTTTAAATGTATTTTTTTATTACCTTGAATTTTCATATTGTATATTGACTTTTAAAAGGGTTTCGATATGATCTCCATTAATATCCATGTAGCCAAACTGCTAAGATACAGACCATGTAAGTGGGTGATAAAGTGGCTATTGACCTCAAATGGGTATTACTCTACAGTACGAAGTTCAGCTGGCACTCAGTTACCCATGATGGATCTTGATACTGGG